ACGGCGCCATCGGCGACGGTCCGGGCGCCTTGCTGCTGGGCCGCGGCGGCGACGGCAGCCCCACCACGCCCTTCACCCTGTCCCCCACCTCCATGACCTCGCCCTCGGGCCAGGCGGGGCTGGACGACCTGTTTGAGCCCATGCACATCCACTCTCACGTTGCAGACCGTGAGTGGTGGCGGTGGTGGTGTTGGGGGGGTGAGGGGCAGGAGGGGGGAGGAGCGCGCTTCGGGGGATGCGTGTGTGCAGGGGGTGTACAGGAGTGAAAGGGCTGGGGGGCAGGGAGTCGGTGGCGGCTCGACGGGCCCTTCTGCGGTTCGGCCGAGGCCTCTGCGAGCCGAGCGGGTACGAGGCCGGATCGTGCCGGTCACCAACGCGCTGGCGGCTGTCGGACGGGCTTCCGTCAGCACGATGCTCGTGTCCATGCACCCCCTCTCCCCTCCCGCACGGCCCACGCCCCTCCTCCAACCCCTTCCCCGCCCTACATACCATCCCCGCAGTGGCCGGCGTGCCGGGGCTGGACCGCCTGATGGAGAGCATCATGCCGGACAGCCCCTACTCCGCGGCCGGGATGCTGGACCTGGTGGGAAGGCCCTTCCAGTACCTATGACGCCCGGCGCGGGGGGAGTAGGTACGCCGTCCGCCCCCGGCCGTCGCGCGGAGCGAGGACGCCCGGCGCCGGGCTCTGCGCCGCCGCCACCCAAACTGACCCTGCTCCCTCTAGGGGAGCAGCACACACGCGACCACTTCTCTCTCGCTGCCGCCCAGCGACCCGGCTCAGATTGGGCCCTCGCTCCGGCTGCTGCACCGCTGCTGCATGCTTCCCGACTCCCAGCCCCGGGCAAGGGGGGTGATACCGACCCCAGTTCCGGCGGCGAGGGGACCCCTGATTTTGTGACGACCCCCGCCTCCACCGCACCCCAGCCAGCCCGCTCCGCCGCGCCCCCGCCCGCTCCACCGCACGCCCACTCGCCCCACCCCATCCGTTGGCGCCGCTAGCCAGCCACCCAGCCGCCGCGACAGCGTCCCAGCCGCCCGTGCAGCAGCCCCTCTTCATTGGAAACTCCCAACCCTGCAGTGAACATGTACCATGCACCTCAGACCTGACCTGTGCACCACCCCACCCCCCTTTCCCTCTCGATCATAATGCTGTCGCACGGCGCCCTCCCACCGGCTCCCACCCCTGCGCCTCGACCGGGGTGGAGCAGCGGGCACGCCGCTGCATGCCCTCTCAGCATCGCAACGTGTAACATGACCCACATGCAGCAGGGTTACCAGAGCTCCCGCGCGCGCATGAGAATGTGCGGGCAGGGTGCCGGCTGAGGAGTTGTTCTGGTCCCTCAGCGTGGGTGTCACGACGCCAGGCTGACATGTGCAGGTGTGAGCAGGAGTGGAGGGAGTGCTGGGTATCCATAGAGGCATGATCATACAGGTGTGTTACATGGATCTGGTACTGAGGATCATCAAGGAGTCTTGCAGGTTGGTATGGTATGTCATCATTCAGCCAGAGTGGCGCATTTCAATCTTGTACACTGCGTTTCAAAGTGCTGGAAAGTGGGTGCAGGGGTTTCGCCATGCAGCAGGCAGTGGGAGGGGTTGCCGGGAACACTGGCCATGTCGCCCTTTGACACACCTCCCCTTCCAGGCAGGAGTCCAGGACATCAGGGCCAGCGGGGCATCCCCAGGCCCCGCCAGCTCCTCAACCTGAGGCGGCGGGGGGCTTTCCGTCGGTCCCCTCGCCGGGCTCCCCCGCTGCAGGCACAAGGATGGGGGCCGGCCCAGCGCAGTGCTCTGCCGCCACGCCGCTCCTGCAGGGGCGCTGCTCCCCACCATCAAACGCGTCATGCTGGGCACGCTGGGCGCGCTCCACCGCTGCCGCGATGTCGGGGCTCATGGTGGCAGAGATGCCGTGGTCCTCCATCACCCCGGCGGTGCAGGCGCGCGCCACCGCACTGTCCAGGATGATCATCTGATGGAGTGGGGATGGAGGTGGAGGGAGGAGGGAAGCTGGGCTTTTTGAATCTGGGGAATGCGGGGCGGGGCAGGGGTGCCGGGGGGTCCCTGCACTTTCCCGCCGCCGGACCCATACCACGGTCATGGCTGCGCTTGAGCATGGCCGCGCTAGAGAAAGCGATTAGGAGGAGATCAAGGGGGTCCTCCCCCCCCGCTGCACGCCGCTGCATAAATCCCTCGCTGCCCGCGACAAGAACAACATGTGTCCACACGTACACCCACCTTCCCGCCGGCTTCCATGTCGAAGCGCATGCTGGGCTCGTTGCAGGCGGCCACCAGGCTCGCCAGCTGGGCCAGGCAGTCGACGGGCGTGCCGTTGAAGGCCACGAGCGGGGAGTCGCGCAAGCCGCCCGCGCCTTCGTACCCCAGTGTGGCGGGGCAGGCGAGCACGGTGCTGAGGACAACGGTCTGCTCCCCCGCCCGCGCGCGGACGCCCAGGAAGCTGCGGTGCAGCAGGCGCACGGGCGCGGCGGCGACAGAGCCGTAGCGCTGGGCGAGGAAGGGGTCCGAGAGGGCGGTGAACACCAGGCCGCCCACCAGGAGGTAGGGCGGGCGCCCCTCGTCCATGTGCGGCGGCACCAGGTACTGGTAGGGCGACAGGCGCACGGCGACGGCCAGCTCCGCGCGCGCGCGCAGCAGGCTTAGCGTGACGGTGTCGCCCACGAAGCGCGAGGTCACCGCGTACTTGAGGTCCACGCGCTCGCCGTGCCGGAAGGGGACCGTGCCGTCGTTGCCCACCTAAGGCGGGGTCGGTGTGTGCATTGGGAGCGGGGGTGGAGGCGGGGCTGCGAGGGCGGGGCGGGCATGCACCTGTCAGACTCCACCACGAGCACCAAGCACTCGTAGCCCGCGGGAGAGCTTGAGGCGGCCACGTGGCACCCACCCCCCCCTCCTGCCAAACCCCCAACCTCGAGCCCACACACCTCGACGCCATTGATGGCCATGATGACGTCATCCTGACGCAGGACCTCGGCCTCGTGGGCGGCCGCGCTGACAGAGCGCACCAGCACGCCTGCCGGGGTGAGCAGGGGAAGCATGTGTGTGGAGACCTTGGCCCGCACTGGGCGCATCGCGGCGGCAGCCGGGCCGTGCTTCTACAGGCCGGTACCGTCTGCATCCTCGCTCCATGGCCCACAAACACACACACCTTTGTGCTGGGGCCCCATGCCGCAGGCGAGCCTCAGGGTCCTGCTTTCCAGCTCCTGCCAGACCACGTTCAGCGAGGGGAAGCCGGTGTAGGTGCCCGTCCTGTGTGCGGGGAATGTGCGAGAGGTGCTGAAATCAAGAGGATGCAAGCGGCGTGGGCCCAGACTCCCGTCCACGGCTCCATTCGATGGGGCTCCTCGACCTCGAGCTCCAGCATGCAGACCTGTGCGACCCCACCTCCCCTTTGGGCCTCTCACCTCATGTAGTCGTGCAGAAAGTGGCGGACGACCGAGGTGGGGATGACGTAGCCGATGTTGGCTGCGGATGGAAGGGGTGAGGGGCGGGGGGGGGGGGTGGGGAGGACATCACCAGATGATCCAATATGCCTGGGTGCCCTGCCCGGGAACAGCACCCTGGCGCCTCACTGTGGGGGACCTGGACCCGTGTCGCTCTGGGGCAATTGCAGCGCATCACTGCCCGAGCATGGCCCCGCCATCCCCATTCCAGTCCCTCCCAGGTCTCCCCTCCAGTGCCAAAGACTCTGTGCCATGGCCACACCCCTTCCCCACTCTTCCCCACCCCCTTTCGTCCCTTCAACCACCCACCCCCCCGCCCCACCCCTCCCCACCAGTGTTTCCGGTGAGGCTCTGGAAGGCGATGCCCACGCACTCCCCCCCCTGCGCGCTCATCACCGGCCCGCCGCTGTTCCCGCTGTTGATGGCGGCGTCGGTCTGCACCGCCAGCAGGCTCATGCAGCCATGGCTGTAGTGCGTCATCTGCACCCTGGACACCACCCCCGCGCTGATGGCCAGCGAATCGCCGCCAATGGGGTAGCCCAGCACCGCCACCGCGGCCTGCAGCGCGGGCGTGTCGGCCGACAGCTCCACGGGGTGCAGGTCGCGCCAGAAGGCCTCGTCGTCCACGGTGAGCAGCGCCACATCGCACCCCGTGCCGACGGCCAGCACGCGCGCGGCGTGCTTCTCGTCGTCGCCGCGCCGCTTGAGCTGGACCTGCGTGGCATACGACACGCTGTGCGCGTTGGTCAGGATCCAGCGCTGGCCGCCGGGAAACGCCACCGCGAAGCCGGTGCTCTTGCTGTGCGTCTGCTGCTTGCGCTGTCGGGTGATGGTTGTTGGAGGGTGGGTGAGGGGAATGCCGGGAGCGAGTGGAAACTGGGTGGCATGATGTGCGGGAGACTCGGGCGGTGGGAGGGAGGAAGGGAGCACTGGGTGGTGAGGCAGCACAGTGGCCCAGAGGGGGCCAGTGGCCGGCCTTAACAAACACTCTGACCAACCCCAGCTCGGCACCAGTGCACCAGACCCCAACCCCAATGGTCCACCACCCCATCTCTCCACCGACCCACCTGCCAGGGCAGCTCATGGTTGGGGTAGCTGTGCGTGGCAAACACCTTGAGCACGGCGTCCATGTGACGCTTGAGCACGCGCGCCCCCGCTCCCGTGGTCAGCTCCGCCTCTGCCGCGTGGTGTTTGGCCGTGGCCGGGGTGGCCGGGTCCAGCACCAAGTGGTGGTCCTGGATCAGATCGGTGCTGGAGTCCAGGGAATGCAGGTGGCGGGCGCTGGGGACAGGACCCGTGCCGGCCTCCTCCCTGGGGCCCCCCTGCGCGCCGGGGGCGGAGAAGGCGGAGCAGCGCAGGTCCATGCGGGGTGGGGACGGGGGCTTGCCGCGCAGGGGGTAGGCCTTCTCGCTGCACGGGATGGAGCTCGACATCCTGGGCGCCGGAATGGTGTGGCCGGGGGTGGGTGTAAGTTTGGATTCAGAGACAGGACCCGCTTTTGTGGATCGACAGGGAGCCCACCGCTGTACCTCAGGAAGCTGTACGCCGGCGGTGTCGGGGGGGATGTACAGCGACACGGAAGCCCGCAAGGCGTCTGCGGCACTACCCGGACTGGACCTATGATTCTTTACCTGCGTTGAAAGCATCTGGGGGTGCTGGCGCACGCTCGGAGAGCTCTGGCAGGTGTTCCTGCCTCAGCCCGGTGGTGGTCGACGGGAAACCCTAACCCTCGTCCTTCAGCGCAGAGGGGCCCTGATGCCACAGAGCACGCGACATGCACCGTACTACTCAAAGTGCGCATCAATAGGCCAGGCCTCACCTTTGGCTCGGCACCCGTCGAGTGGACGGCTCCGAACTACTCGAGTTGACGGTCGGGGTCGGACGGAGACCCGGCGAGAGGCTTATTTCAAAAATTCAGTACAGACGGACGTCAACAACGTATTGATTGTAGAGAGAGCGAAGAGGTAATATTTGAAATGAGAATCTCTTTGAACAAATGCCTCTTGCGCTGATACACCCCTCCTCCTTACGGAAGTGCCCTGCAGCAGCAGGGGGCAGATCGCGCGCCTAAAGACTGGGCCACTGAACGTCTGGTCCAACCTCACAGTGTACCCTTTGTTGGGCGATCACTCTTGTTGAAACGTACAAAATCAAGCTACTGATCTATAAGACAATCCATAAGATGGTGGAGCGTGCAGTCCACGGACCATATGGGAGCGAGGCAGGTTTCATCGAGCACATGGATACAGTGCAGGTGAGAAGCCACAAAGCCTACGCATCTGGAGTCGTTAGAGTGACAGATTCTTATTTCAAGGGACAGATGAGGGAAGGAACCCTTCCTGGACCTTCAGGAGTACCTTGAGCTCCAGAGGTCCCTCGAGGAGTCGCTGGAGGCCGGGTTCCTCAGCATGGCCCGGGCTCGGTACCAGACGAACGCCACGGAGATCAGCACGATTCGGATACCCAGTTATATATCGGCCAGCACGGGTGTCTCACGGAGCGGTGAGCCCCTGCTTAGATTCAGGAGTGTGTGAGCTGGCAAATGTCCCTGATGCAGCCACGGCCTCTTTCCTGGGCCTTCATCCATGCTGTTCCCCCTGCAGATGCGAGTGGGGAGCTGCAGTTGGTGAGGTCCGAAAACTTCAGGCCGCTGACCCTGCCTGCACGCTCTCACGGCCTGGGTGAGGCTGGCTGCCATGCGGGCAGCGGCCAGGACAAAGTCCCCAGCTCAGACAACGCAGCCCGCCAAATGCCCGCCTCTGGAAGCCCGCCAGCCCCAAGCATCGTAGACCAGATTGCGGAGCAGTTTGCGTGCCAGCGCTTGGAAGATGCTCCCGAGGCGCAGGATGCTGATGGCGCCGCTGGCACCGCACCCAAGGGAGCAGACCCGCTGCGCTGGTATGGAGGCCTCGTACCGCATGACATGAGGAGGGCAGAGAAGCACTTTCAGAGTGCCCTGCAGCTGATGATGCGAGCGGCAACGTTGCGGACCAAGCTGGCCATGACCTTTGAGACAAGGTGGTATGAACCATCTCAGTGAATGTCTTAGCCCTGTTGAAATGTGAGCAACAGTCGCCACACAGTTATAGTGAAGAATGACAATTAAAGGGCTCATTGTTTGGGTTGTGGAGACATCGGACGAGGGGTGGACCTAAAAGTGGAGCTACGCTCCACTCAACCGTCCTCCACCACCCCACGACGAGAGTTGCACAGATTCGGGACTTACGCGAGTCACATGAGCTCTCACCACTCACCGCTGGCAGCATTGCATGGATAATTGGAACAAGTCACTACAGCCTTGACATGCCCTCCGCCGGTCCCCTCCCAGGAGCGGCGTTGAGCGGTCGTGTCGAGCTCGCCACCCACCTCTGTCATCCGCGGCGAACCACAAACAGACACTTTGCTCCATTCCTGACTGATTCGAGGCCTCGTGATGCGTACTCCTCTACATTTACCCCCTCAGAGGGCCGATCTGGCCAGAGAGGTGCAGCGGGCCGGGTGTCGGCCTCAACCCCCCCTACTGCCCTCGTTGCTGCGCCCCGCACCCCCGCCCTCCTCCGCTCCCAGCTGATGGACAAAGAGGTGGTCACCCGAACCTCTGGACGCCGACTGGGGTATGTGCACCAACTGACGGTGGACCCAGCCAGGCTGGAGGTGGCAGCGCTGTACCTGCGCACCAGCCCCACGGGGTTGGGCGCCCAGGCCACGGACCATGTGTTGCTGTACAGCCTGCGCCAGATAGGCGACGTCATCTTGGTCCATGACGAGTCGGCCCTGCTGGATCCACCCGCCGACGAGGCCGCCGGCTACTGCAAGCTGGTGGGAGCGGAGCTTGTGTCAGAGAGTGGCGTCAAGCTTGGGAAGGTGAGGGGAGCGTGTGTCTGTTGAAGGAGGGAGGGGGGGAGTTATCCCCACATGCCTCCCAAGAGACTAATGGGATGCAGACGGGCGGGGAGCAAAGGGCATTGAGAGCGCCTAATGAAGCCTTCTCTAGGGCTTTCATTATGGTCTGCCCTGTTAAGTGCGCGGACCGGCGACCGCGGGTGGCCTGCTGACAGGCTGGGTTTTCAAGATGGGCAGGCAGGCGTGCTTGGTCTTGCTCAGAGCCATGCGAGGCTGCTCTATGTCTGTGAATATGAGGGACTCCCGGGCCCAGCAGCCGAGACACATTACCATCTGAACAATCACTCGCCCCTAAATCCCCAGGTGCGGGACTATGCGTTTGACCCAGACTCCGGGGCCATCTCCAGCCTGAAGTTCGACGTGCTGGGCCTGCCATCCATTCCCCAGGCCCTGCTCCCCTGCAGCGCCCTGCGCTGGGATGAGGTCGTGGCCGTTGCGCCACTGCGCATCGTCGTGCGCAGGTGAGCCTCGACGGTGGTTCCTCGAGGATTAACAGCGCATCCGCATGAACCTTTCAGCGAGATTGCTTGTGTAGGGACAGCTTGTGTACCATTCCCAACACACTTCTGCAGGGGGGCGGAGGCGCGGGCGGTGCAGGAGAACGATGGCTGGCTGGCAGAGGGGATGGGGATGCTGCTGGGCATCCTGGGAGGCCTGGGTGAAGAGGCGGAGGCGGGGCCGGGCGAGCGGAGGGCTGGGGAGGCAGACGCGTACCGCTCGGACCCCGCCTACCGGGAGTGGTACGCGCGGCACGGGCGGGACTACTCCCGCTATTACGGGCTGGACCTGCCTGTGCCGCTGGAGGCGGCGCAGCGCCCGCTGCCACGGCGGGATGCCGCGCCGCGGCGCGCGGTGCCGCCGCAGCGAGCCCTGCCCGCGCCGCAGACCCCCAGCTATGCAGAGGCTTTGGTGCCAGGGCGTCGGACTGCCGCGCCTGCGGCTGCAACGGAAACCCAGGGCGATTTGCTGGAGGTCATGCAGCAGCGCACTCGCTCGGCAAACACCCGTGGACTGCCGCTCCGCGACGCGCCGCCTGCAAGACGGAGTGCCCTGAGGCAGGCACAGCAGGCACAGAGGCAGCCCTGATGTGGAGGGGGTGTATGCGGAAGTGCGACATGTGACTGCATGGCTTGGCAGGGCTGGAGAGAGATCCATGCCAGAATTCCTATGGAACTCTCCCCTGGGCAACTTCTTGTTAACAATACGTCTTTGCGCGCAGGCAAGTGCACCATCCACATGAGTTTTCCAGTAGGTTTCTTTTTGCTCAACACTTTGTAATGTGTTGTTCCCTGGTAGTCATCACTAGTGCCTATCGATGCCGGGTTCACCTCTGTTGGAATCCTGGCAAGCCTTCTCCGGGCTTGTGCAACCCCCGGGCGGGCGCGATGTTCACCCGACAGGAAAGGATTCGCAACAAGAGCACGCCTCCCCGTTACATTCGCTGCTCATGTATTGCAATCAACTACTCGTCTTGAGGGTATGAAGGCATGACTTTGTGCGATGGATGACATCGAAGCGTCCTCGACTCTGCCTTGCGGGACAAATGTTGGGGAGTACACCATCAAAGATCGGATCTGGAGGGGGGAGCGAACCGAGGTCTACCACATGGAAGACGCCGATGGCGAGGTCAGAGGACGGGGGGATAAATCCTTTGCGCAGGAGCTCTGGTCGGCACAGTTACCCCTGGGCCCGTCGCGAAAAATACCTGGCCTCACAACGGCACCCGCTCGCGTTCCCTGCGCAGTCCTACGCGCTGAAAATCGAGCTTGAGCCGGGGTGCTCCCGCCTCAAGTCTGAGATAAAGGTCCTGCTCGTCTGCTCCGGAGTACCCACCTTCAGGGATGCCGGAGATGTGGATGGGCGTGCATATATTGTGCAGGAGCTGCTGGGACCCTCACTACACACGGCCAGCATGGAGCATGAAGGCGGAATATGGCCATTTATGGAAGTCAAGGTGAGGCCTAGGGGGAATCTGTGCATTGGGTTGCTCAGCTGGCTCGCCCTGTCAGTGCCTCCCGCTGCTCCTGCAATGGGCAGCTTATGCTGGTCCCCACCTGCCCGCCCTACCCCTGGATCCACAGAGGGTGGCCTGCCACCTCCTGGAAGCCATCCGCGGAGTGCACGAGGGCGGTTACCTGCACTGCGCACTCAGCCCCCGCGCTTTCTACAGGCGCGGCCAGGGCACCGACCACCCAGGCATGCTCTGGCGCCTGTCGGGCCTCGGCTCCGCCCAGCTGCAGTCCAAACGGCAGTGCATACCCAGGGCCGATGGGGCAGGGCCCGGCGCGTACACCGCCCCAAACCTGCACAACCCCCTTGCTCTGCCGGAGGAGCGTGACGACCTTATCTCCTGGCTGTTCATTGTGGCGGAGATGCTCACTGGGAGGCTGCCCTGGAAGGGGTCTGGCGATGAGCCGGGGTGCAGTGAGCAAGCCATGCTGAAGCTGAAGATGGAGGCGGAGGCGGATCCCAAGGAGTTATTCCCCAGCGTGGGGGGGATGGTCATGCCGAGGGTGGGTGGGGCCGCCGGGGCATCGAGTTGGATTGGTGTGGCAGTAGGAGCTGTGGGTTTGGTGGTCCTGTGTTTGTCGTCCTGCCCTGGAGGCCTGATCCCACCACCACTGCCTTGTGCCAACTCCTCCCAGCCCTGGCGTTGACACAGGGTTTCTACGCCTTGCACGAGACTGTGGTTCGTGGGGAGCCCGACGACGGGCCAGACTATGCCAGGATCGAGCTGCTGGTGGACAGGTGCGAGGGTGCGGCCAGGGGCTGCCTCGCTGGGAGGCTGGGTGGGTGTCCCTAAGGGCGTGTCGACAACCTGCTGTGCTGTTGGAGGGAGTGAGGGGCCCGTGGTGTTGGCAAGGGGGCCATGGGGTCCTTATGATGCCCATTGTCGCCCAACACATTCAACGAATGACGAGCTTTTGAGTACAGCGAAAGCACATGCACCTGTCGATGAGCCCTTGGCTTTGCGGAGCCTGCCCGCATGCGCCGTGCCGTCAGATGCGACCCTCGCCTTTCAACCCCCCTCGGGTCTTCCAATCTAGGCTGACCGAGGGGCCAGCCAGCGCGCCGAGGGAGGTGAGGAAGCAGGCGCCCACGCCCGTTCTTGCCTCGGACCGAGGCACCCCGGCGGGCAGCCCCTTCCCCCGCCTCTCAGCCGGCCGCGCCCCCATCTACGTCAATCCCCGCCCCGTGCCCGGGTCCTCCGGCCCCTCCCAGCCCGGGCCCAGCCGCGGCGCGCCGGCGGCCCGCGGCGTGCGGGAGGCGGGTGTTGAGCCGGCGCCGGCGGATTCCAGGCAGCGGGCGGATCCCGGCAGGGCCACCCCGGACCGCGACGCGGCGGAGCGGGGACGGGAGCCGGAGCCGAAGCGGGCCGCTCGGCCCGCGGCGTGGCGGCGCGACGAGGACGGCGCCCGGGTCAAGCGCCGCCGGCCCTCCCCCGAGCCCCTGTCGAGGTCGAGGTCGAGGTCGCCGCGTCAGCGGCCCCCGACGCCGGTCTGGGACCGGCCCCCCGCAGACCGGGACCGGCCCTCTGCAGACTGGGACCGAGCCCCTCCAGCCGGGGACCGGCCCCCGCCGCCTGGGAGGGGGGACGGTGCCCCGGCCTGGGGTCCTGCCCCGGCGGGGGACCGCGCCGCCTGGGGTGGCCACGGCGGCCCGCCCCCTCCGGACAGGGACGCCGACAGGGGGTGGGACGCCGGGCACCCCGCGCCTGTGGAAAGCCGCCGCCCCGTGCAGAGGTGAGCAGGGGCGCCCGGGGTGCGGTGTTGTGGCCCTGATGGCGCGCGGAGGGTGCTGGGAGGGGGGGCATGCCCGCTCCCCATGTCCCCCCCTCTGCCACTCCTCCCGTCCTCGCCGCCCCGCCCCGCCCCGCCACCGAGAAAGCGCGCACGGCCCCCTCACGTGTGCTTGCACTGCAGGTCGCCGGCGCCCGGCGGCCCTCGGGAGGATGGCGGCTGGACGCAGCGCGGCGGCCGGCGGCCGGCACCCTACTCCCCGGGGGTGGACTCGCCTGGAGGTCTGGTGGATGTGCAGCGCGGGAGGCCCCATGCGCCCGAGGGCATGCCGCCGTATGACATGGGCCGCTACGAGCATACCGGGAGGTGAGGTGGAAGGAGCAGCGTGTGCGACCGGCTGTCCCTCCCGCAGCAGGCTGTGTGGTATGGCCGCGCAAGGACGCGTGGACCTGCCCCCAATCCCTGCCCCAGTCTCCCCAGCAGTCCATACATGCAAGCCTTGATACCTCGGCAGAGTTCCCTGGCACCCACTGCCGCCGTGCACATGCCTCGCAGGCCGATGCACCCCGCCCACGCGCCACCGATGCCGCCCATGCCGCCGGTGCCGCCGCCGCACTTCCAGAGCTCCCCGCATGGCATGCAGATGGTGCATCCGCCGCCGCCGCCGCTGCCGCCGCCGCCAACGACCCGGCCGTCCGCAGTGGGGGCCTCGTATGACGAGAAGACGCACGAGAAGTACAAGGCGTGCCTGAAGTACGTCCACGCCCTGCGCCAGGTGTGGAGCCCTCCTGGGCCTGGGTCGAGTGGACGACTGCCCCTGGGAAGGGATGGCACCTGGCTCGCAGCGCCATGTGCATCGGACACCCAATTCCCTCAGGAGTGCGGGATGCCGCATGTCCCTGGTGCCACCTCACCATCCTGCTCTCCTCTCCTCCACGTAGGGAGCGCTCAGCAGGGAGGCGGAGGAGGCCTGCGACACACTGGCGAGACTCTCGCCCATCGACGCCCTGTCGGTCATCTGCTGGACGGCGGACGAGGTGGCCACAGGTGGGGAGCTGTGCTGGTGAGGCTGGTGGTTGGGAGGAGGTGGAAGGAGTGCTTCTGCTGCTGCTGCCGGCACGTCGTCTGACGTGAGCTGGAGCCTTGGGGCGGGCGCTTCCAGGATCGCTCACATTTAGGATCCTTGCCGCTTGGCATGTCCACCGCCCCGCCCCGCCTGCCCACAGGTGTGGATATGGAGGCTCATCCCCTGGTGGCAGAGTGGCTGGAGGAGCTGTCAGCCTTCGCCGCGGGACTGGCCAGACGATGTCGCCAGAAGGCGGGGGCGCTGCCCGGTCACTGAGGCGCATGCAGCTGCTGGGGAGGCGGGGGCGCTCGGTCTGGTCACCCCTGAGTCTACGACTGTGGTGCTGGTCTAAAAACTCGAGTATCAGGGGGAGTTGTCACGGGGCAGGCAGGGGCAGGACTTGCCCATGGGGCAGGTCTCGGGCAGGTACACGCCGCCACACTCCTCACACAGGCCCAGGGAACGCCTCTGGGCCCGAGCCACGAGCTTATCCACGGCGCCGGCCGAGAAGTAGAGGACGATGAGGAAGCCGGCGAAGACCAGGCCTGCTATTTGGTCGAGGGTCCATGGTGGGGAGGAGTCCATGGCTGCAAGGACCAGCGACTGGGCGCGCATGCGCCCCGGCAGATGAAGAAGGGACTCGACTACTGGTCCCTGTCGTGCATGGTGGCCAGGCTGCCGCTCTGGCCGGCCAAACTTCCATCGCATGGGGGCCATGGGGCTCGGCAGCCGGTGAGACAACCCCCCCCGTGACGGGGAATTGACGAGGGCCAAACTCATCCTCGGGCGCCGATGATGAGCCTTCTTATCATGAGAACATAGGAGTTTCCAGATGTTTTTGCAAAAAAAGTCCGAGTGCAGATTTTTGCAAACGACAAGTCGGCACATGGTGCATGCTCGCTCGAGGTCCTCGATCCTCATGGGTGGAGAACTTGAAACTCATGTTTTGCACCCCTTCGCATCCCTTGGTGATCCCATCCCCAGTTCTCGCCACAACCCTATTCAAGCTATGTCCATCTAAATAAATCTCTGGGTCGTGAGCCAGGTTGATAAAATTATAAGCTGGGAAGCCTGGCAGTATTGCCATCATGATTTTATCGTTTGAGAGTGGGGTCTGACGAGCAAGTGTCGGTGCATTGCGCATGGGGTGCTGCAGACGATCCTCACTTGCCTTTAAGGGTACGATCCCACAGCACTGGAGCTCACTGGAGCAAGACGCCTACCTGCATGATGGATGCGATGACATGATGTTTTGAATCAGGGCAGCCAAGAAAAGGGTGTCAAGTTGCCACAGAACCATAGCACAGCCCAGCCAGTGGCCACTAACTGAGTGGAGACAGGATTGCCATGGCAAGATTCCCAGGCATTCAAGGAAGAGGCAGTCCTGGCACTCTCACCGAATCAGCAACCAACCCCTCAGCCCTGTACCTGCCTCCACCCCACACCGGCTCACCTCATGGCCACTCACACCCCACTGCTTGAGCATGGCCATGAAGCCTGCCTGGTCACCCACTGCCTGATAGACCCCTTGCAACATGGCCTTCCCCGCTGCCCTCTGCTCGGAGTGTGCATCCCGCTGCAGCTGCAGCGCAGCCTGCGCCGTCCTCTGCAGCAGGAGGGTGTCGGGGGCCAGCGCGGACCCGTGTCGGCGCTGCAACTCGCAGCAGAGACGTGCGAGGTACGTGCGGGCGGCAGCCACCTTGGCGCCCGCCAGGGCGGACAGCAGGGCGTTCATCATCGGCGCCGCCTGCGCCGCCTGCGCCGTCGCGCTCAGCGCTGCCCTGGCGGCTGCCGCGAGGAACCCGGCACGCCCGACGGGGAATGCCAGGGGTAGGAGGACGGGCAGCATGGTCTCCAGCAGCCTGTCGAGCTTGGAGCAGTGGGCTTTCACCAGGATCTGTGAACGGAGGTCTGAGGGGAATGGGTGTGGGAGAGCCGGACGCAGGGTCATGGCTCCGGCCAAACAATCTAATGAGATTATGTGAGTCCCAAGGGCAGCACAGAAGGCATTCCAGAGGGAGCTCGAGCCCGGCATGCCGTATCATCACAAGTGGGGCAGCTGACCTCGAGGGTGCTCAGCGCAGCCCGCGCCACCTGGCTGCGCGGAGACTGCGTCAAGGAAAGCACGGCCAGGGCGCTGTCCAGGAGGTGGGCCCTGGTGTAGCGGGGATGGCACGAGCACAGCAGGGCTGGGAGGGAGGCGAGGTCTGCTGTCTGAGTCTCCCACTTGGCATCCGTGGCTTGCAGTCTCTGCGCAAGGATGTTCAGTGCGTGGGGGCTGGGCTCGAGGGGCTGGGGGAAAAAGACCCCAGATACTTGTGGATGCATGGAAAGGACCGGGTAGACCTCTGCCTGCATACCTCTATGAGAGTGCGGAGTGCCTGAGTTTGGTCGGAAGGTGCCCCACTTGAGTGCTTGGTGCCTATTGCACCAAAAGGAGGCTGAGCTGAGGCCTGATGACCTTCGTTGTGCCTCGGGGACGCCCGAGCAGGGGAGAAGCGGGCAGGCCCCACCACAACTTGTCGTGCCTTGCTGATTGATTGCAGAGTTGGGACAGTGGGAGATTGGAGCTGGGTAGCTGGTTCCTCCCCGGATACCTCTACGCGCCCAACTCGAGCTAGCCCGTCTTGCAGGCCTGTCTCTGCGCCCACAGGCAGGCCTACTGATGACTCAGCGACTGTTCCAGCTATTGCAGTCTTGCCACCCAGGCCCAGCTTCCGCAGCCCCGCCGCCAGCTGCGAGTGTTTCAGGTGTGCCAGGGCACTGCCGTCTTGATCCTGAATGGAGACCAGGCTGGAGTGCGTTTCCAGCCATCCTGGCACTGGCGCTTGGCCCTCTACTGCGGCCCCAATGCTCCAGGGCACCTCCACAGCCGTCTCTGTCAGGCGGGCAGCGTTCACATCGCTCTGCTGTCCCGCGTCATCTTCCACACTTTGTGTGGCTGTATGGTGAAGTACTTCTCCGTCCATGGATCGCACAGTCATTTAGCGGTACAGACGAGCAATGGAGACGAATAAATCTAGCTCTTAATGGTTCAACAGCTATTGACGCAGTATTTTCTCACTTTCGGAGGCAGTGCGAGCGGGTGACATGTCTCCCGACATGTTGCGGGCGGGGAGAGACAGAGGGACTGAGGTGCGATCCAGAATTGTCAGCGTGGGTTCTAATTTGAGAATCAATGCTTCAGTGGAGATGGACCTGGAGACGGTATACCGTCGAAGTGGGCATGTCCGTGCATGGGCCCGGTTTCCACTCCCGATGCCCGATGCGTTGATCCTGAGCCTCCGACCCGCAGGGAATGGAGTACACATTGGAACTGCACTGCACTTCGCATTAACATGCTGGTGTGAAAATAAAGTCACAATCCATGTGTGCAAGGATGAATGGCAAGGGATCTGCGTGTTGGCACAGTCGCTTGGCATTGCCTGCTGTGCGTGCTGCCCATTACCTCAATTCACCACTCGCTGGCTCTTGTTGAGATGCATTTACAAGGGATAGGCAGGTGCGACGCTGCAGAGGCTATGAAGGCAGATCGCGTCCAAAAATACACGGTTACATTCAACATGCCATGCTTCAGGGATGACCGACCATCTGGAAGCCACCCCCCACCGCCCCTCCCGCTGGCTCCCCGCCCGCCCGTATCCAGGTCGTGATCTGGTCCCAGGCGCTCTGCATGGAGATGAGCGGGCGGTGCGCCCCCACCAGGCCCACTCTTTCTACAGCATCGAAGCCGTCGGCCATCGCGGACTCGGTGGGCACGGTGCCGTCCCCGTCCACGTAGGTGTAAGAGGCATTGGCGTGGGGCAGTGCCTTGAGCTCAGACACGGGGAACCACCAGCTGCCTGCGAGAGGGGGAAAGGAAGGGCAGGGAGGTGGCAGCCAGCCCCTCCATGGTATGGCCGGGTGCGAGTGCAAGGTCCTGCTCAGGAGGTCACAGACCAGTATCATGCCAGGCGCACCGTACTGCAGGCTATACGGCGTGGGGTACCCCTTGCCATACAGATTGTAGAACCTGGAGGTGCGTGGGAAGGTGCATGCCGACCAGGCGCTGTGTGAGTCGACGGCGCGCTGCCACACCTGGGTTGACAGTGGGATTGGGGGTTGATGGGTTCTGATTCTCCAAGGCGCTACCTTCTTCAGCCTACTCAAGACTCTCTCCCATGGCAACAGCAATGTGCGCTGCTGCACGCCTCACGCCTGCCATCCATACCAGCTGCAGACGTGCAATCAATGCTGTCCAGGCTCGAACACCCACCAGCAGCCACCCCCCTCCCGAGCCCTCGGCCCCAGGACACGCCCCAGGGCCCTGTCCCTCTGCACCCACTCACATCCGGATTGAAGGGCATGGCCACCGCCTGGCCTCCAATGCTCACGCTGTTGCCCTCCAGCACCCCCTGCAGCACCCCCCCCAGCTGGTCCAGTGCAAACTTGTACTCGTGCGCCTCGTGCCAGCTGGCGAGCGGGGCCTCCTTGGGCCCGAGGGTCCTCACCCCAGCCGCCGCCTCCGCAGCCGCCGCCTCCGGACCGGGTCGGTGCATGGAAGGGTGGGTCGCAGAGGGTACCGCCACCCTGCGCACCGAGCGCGGGCGGGCCGGGGGGTGCTCCGAGGCACACTGCCGCGCCGGCGTGCGGGGCTGCGCGGCGGCCCCCAATGGCAGGGCGGCGGCTCCTTCGCCCCCGCCGGGCAGGGGTGTGGTGAGCCACAGGGTCAGCTCCGGGGCGGGGGCAGCGTATGGGAAGTGCGGTGGGGGCAGCAACTCGTACACAGCGGGCGACTGGACGCAGGCCTGGCGGAACGTTCCGCGGTCGACGAAGAAGTACGCGCCCAATGACCCCGCAAACTGCACCCCGGTCAGGAGCGCGTCGCTGCCGAATCCGGGGGCGCCGCCGAATGGCGCCGCCACTGCAATCCAGGTCTCGACCTAAAGGTAAGGGGGGGAGGGGGGAGAGGTCATAATCTGGGGTGAGGTGAAGTAGCGAGAGGGAAACCCGGGGCAGGGGCCAAGCGACTGGCTATTCCAGCAACAGTGGCACATTGTCATTGGAGCGCAAGACCTACCCCATGCGTCAGGAGATCTGTATTGAGGCCGATCCGATGTTCCCCGCCCATCACATCCCAGGTCGCACTCAGCCCCTGCTGACCCCACCCAGCCCACAGCGCACCAGCTTCTCAAACTCCGCGGCGTGATCGATGAGCAGACTCCTGACGACCAGGGCCCCCATGCTGTGGCTCAGGATGTCGGCGCGGCGCCCCGTCAGCGCGTGCATGCTGCGGAGCCGGTCCAGCAGAGCCGGCACATGCGCGGAATTGGACTGTCGGAAATCGTATCCGAAGCCAAACAGGTCAGTGCCGCACGTGTAGCCCTGCTTGCTCTGCAGGAGGTGTTGGTGGGAGACCTGGGGTTGAGGTGAGGAAACTCGTAGGTGCAAGCGAGTGCCCACTGGGCAAACGCTTTGGGGCCGAGAGATTGGACCTGAGGAGTCTGAGGGGAACCGCAAAGGCTCCCCTTTGACCGCAGCTGCCATTCGCTGCAAGGGTTCCCCTCCCTCCACCCACTTGAGCTTCCCGCGTCGGTGAGCTCACCGTCAGATACTCCACAAATGTGTCAAAGTAGTGGACCACAGGCAGTCCATACTGCACATCGGGGTCCAGGATGCTGATGGGGTAGAGTCCGCTTGCATCGCCGTTGGTGGGCACCAGCACCTCCTCAGAGTCAGAACTGAGGCCCTCCACGCGTCCACTGCTCCTATCATATGTTCCCCACAGCTTCTGGTACCGCAGGTCAGCCCCACTGAGGCTGACCCAGGCCCTCTCCCCCTCCCCTCTGGCCCCGGCAGCGCGGGTGTTCAGGATGGTCCCACACACCCCTGCGCATGTGCGATGGCGCGCACAAAGGGTTGATCTGGGGTTGGAATTGTCTCAGCTCCCACGAGACAATGCACGGTATTCCCTCTGCACGCGCACCTGGGATGAGAAGGAGAGGACGGGCCGGTTCCGCTGCTGCAGACATGGGCAGCCAGCGGGGACCATCACCTGCTCCCCGAAGAGATGATTTTACGTACGCCGTGGTATTGATCACAGAGCTTGATGTCGGTCAATCTCGCCAGCTCCACCTGCTCTCTGCTGGTCATGTAGATGCTCCCCAGATCCCGGAACCAGAAAACCGCGCGCGCTGTGCTGCGGAGCTCCTCAAACTCCCGTCAGCCCGTCAGCATCCTTTCGAACTAAAACCTTAGTCCGCGCAGGGAGTGGCACGACGAAGCTATCGTTTGGACATTGAGCCGATTAGGATTTGAAGAAACCGCATCGTGGGCGTGCGCGTCATCTGCGCGGGTGTCAGAACCCATACCGCTGGCGGAGCTAGCAGCCGGAAGGCTGGAGCGAAGGTCACCACCTCGGCGCCAGCGCTCTATGACGGGAGGGGCCATGAGCCCCAAGGGATCGCCACATGGAGAAGAAGAGCGATTGGTGTTGGAAGAGGTGGAGATGCAGAAGAGGTCGTCCGTACCTCGGTCCACGAGCACCCAGCAGGTAGGCCGATGAAGCTGGCCTGCCCCGAGCCCAACGGTCCCTCACAACGCCAGAAACCAGTGGTTTCAGAGGCCAGTACACCATAAGGACGTGGAATGCCCTCATCCTTGGCATGCAGGCGGCGCAATCCTTGTTCAACACCTACTTCTCACGGCGATTCATGAGCGGCTGGTGAGGTGTTCTGGAGGGAAGCGGCGGGTGCGGTGCGCATGCGCTGCCCTGCTTTTTGAGCCCACATGGGATATCAGCTTACATGTCAAGGCTTGTGTCAAGCCGGGGCTCCTTTACAGAAGATTGCAGTGCCAAGGATGTGCTGGGGTTTATCACACAGTATTGTCCCTGCTCAGTAGCTCCGCAAGCGCTGCTGCTCCCGAGCTGCCGCTTTCCCTCACCCCTCCTCATTGCCCAAATCTCGCAGTGCCATTCTCTTCCCTGTGGTGGTGACAGCCTACCTGACCTGGTGGTTCCTGGAGTTTTTTGACAACTTCTTCTCGCCCCTGTACACTTACCTCTTCGGCTTTCATGTCTTTGGCCTGGGCTTCCTTACCTCCATGCTCTTCATCTTTGCCACGGGCGTCTTCACGTCGTCGTGGATGGGGGCCACCCTCTTCAAGCTCTCCGATTACATCATTCGGAAGGTGCCCCTCGTAAAGCACATTTACTCAGCGGCCAAGCAGGTCTCCGCAGCCGTCTCTCCGGACAACGAAGCAACTCACAGCTTCAGGTGCGGCAGCCTTTGTTGTGGAAGTGGCTCAGGGGCATGGCAGCATGCTAGAGGGGCTGCGATGCCGTGCATGCCTGCAAGTCAGGGTGTGGTGCCATGCATGCCTGCAGAGGAGGGGGTCTGGCATGTCCGGGACAAGTCGTCCACAATGTGTAAATCACAAACGTCTGACTCCCGCAGGGAGTGCGTCCTGATACGCCACCCGCGGCACGGGGAGTACGCCTTTGGGTTCATCACGGGGCAGACCAAGATGACCACTCCGGAGGGCGAGCTGGAGCTATTCTCGGTGTATGTTCCCACCAACCATGTCTATGTGGGCGACATTTTCCTCCTGGCCGCCCCCGACATCATCAGGCACAACCTCTCTGTCCGAGAAGGAATAGGTGGGTGTTTGTTTTTGAGGGGGGGTGCCCTATGTTGGCCCAAGCAGGCCACCTAGCTCATCGCAGAGTTCCAGGCAGCCATGCATGCTCACGTCACCAAGCTGGGCCTTGGTGCTCACCAGCTGGTCTGTTACAATTTTGTGGTGCTGCAGCAATACCTTTTCCTTGCCCCTACGCGCCCCGCAGAGGTTGTGGTGTCTGTAGGAATGGCGTTGCCAGGCCACTTGCAAGCCACTGGGAGGTAGCACTGCACCCATGCATCACCATGCTCAGCGGACCTTTAACTATCAAGTTTAGTGGGGCAGTGTGAGCAACTGCGAGTCAGATTGACGGTTGCAAGAGTCCGTTTGCCAGATCCTACGCTGTCACGGTGCTGAACCTCGGCGGTGCTAGGGTTTCATGCAACCCAGAGAAGATAAAGAAAAGAAACTCTTCTGGGCCAGTGGTCGAATTACCACGTGACGCGCGGCCACCACCCGACGCTGTTCCGGTGGTGCAGTGCCCAACGTAAGGAATGTGCAATGACCCACACCAGCAACATCGGTACAGTGTATTGATTCTGAGCCTGACGACCTCGAGATGACGGAGACCAAGCAGCATGGAACCTTCGCCGTCAAGGTGGGACGCGGTGGTCCGAGTGGGGGGATGCCTGGGACCCGCGTGGCCATACCCAGCACACCATTACCACCAGCAGGTCAAACAACATATACCCTTGCGCCTGCATGCGGCTCGGCGTCCTTCCCACGTTCAGACTGGGGAATCCTCCGTGGGCTGTGGCGAAACCCACCACCCACCAGTCATCACGCCCCTGTTCGCCCCGCAGAGTGGTCTGGCCCAGATGTTGAAGGGTGGCGTGATCATGGATGTGGTGACCGCCGAGGAGGCCCGCATCGCCGAGGAGGCCGGTGCCGTGGCGGTGATGGCCCTGGAGCGTGTGCCCGCGGACATCCGCAAGGATGGTGGCGTGGCCCGCATGAGCGACCCGGACATGATCAGGTCCATTAAGGCCGCGGTGACCATCCCCGTCATGGCCAAGGCCCGCATCGGGCACTTCGTGGAGGCCCAGATCCTGGAGGCCCTGGGCGTGGACTACATCGACGAGTCCGAGGTGCTCACCCCTGCCGACGACATCCACCACATCTCCAAGCACAACTTCAAGGTGCCCTTTGTTTGTGGCTGCCGCGACCTGGGCGAGGCCCTGCGCCGCATCGCCGAGGGCGCAGCCATGATCCGCACCAAGGTGGGAGGGGGTCGCAATGGTGGCTGGTGGGAAGGTTGGGAGGGGTTGCGCATCGACAGTCCTGTTGAGGCTTGTCATGAGAGCTGGGTACCTGAAGGGTCGCGGGGCTCAGGCTGACGGTGACGGAGCAGCTGCCCAGCTGTGAGCTTGGAGTGACTCACTGGGACTCGTGCGCACAGGCTCCCTGTTACTCAAAGCATAGCACGGATGGATGACCGGTGTCCCTCTGGGCACGCAGAGTCCACCCCGTCCTCGCGCCTGCGCCCCGCCCCGTCCTCTCTCATGCCAAATCCACACACACTCACACTCACACTCACACTCACACTCACACTCACTCACACACACGCAAACAGGGCGAGGCCGGGACCGGCAACGTGGTGGAGGCAGTGCGCCACGCCCGCGCCGTCCAGGGCGCCATCCGCCAGCTGGCGACCCTCGACGAGGACGAGCTGTACGTGTACGCCAAGGAGATTCGCGCGCCTGTGGAGCTGGTGCGGCAGACCAAGGCGCTGGGCCGCCTGCCCGTGGTCAACTTTGCCGCGGGCGGCGTGGCCACCCCCGCGGACGCCGCGCTGATGATGCAGCTCGGCATGGACGGCGTCTTCGTCGGCTCTGGCATCTTCAAGTCGGGCGATCCCGCCAAGCGCGCGCGCGCCATCGTGCAGGCCGTCACCCATTACAGCGACGCCAAGATCCTGGCGGAGGTGTCGGGCGGCCTGGGCGACGCCATGGTCGGCATCGACGTGCGGGAGAACGGCTTCACTTCCTACGCTGCGCGTTCCGAGTGAGCGACTCGGTGGGCAAGAGAACATTTGTGGGGGGGGGCCGGGGTGGAGGCCGGGGTGGAGGCCGGGGTGCGAGGGCGCCCGTGCCTGGGCGCCCCAGCCCGAGAGCTGCCATGGACCGCCCGCTTGCGCGATGCCCTGGCCCTCGCTGTTGTACGCCGGCACCACCCCATGGCTGCCTGGTTGTGGGGGAAGTGTCCTACCGCCCCACCCTGCACTGATCCCCTGCTCTGAAGACGTGCCCCACCTCCTCCCTCCACTCTTGGGAGAGGTGGGACGTGCACCTGTGTACTGGCCACTGATTGCTGTGCTCTGTGACAGACTCCGTGCTGCTCAGGCAGGGCTCGGTGCATTTAATATCTGAGGTGCTGACCAGGAGTTTGGGAATTGTCACGCTGGCGGACCGCAAATGACACAGGAACCTACATGAGACATTCACCATGGGTCAGGGATCAAGTGCCCATTTTCCGCGCCCATCTGCACTGACGGCCGCCGTCAGGCCGCCAGCCTGGTCATGTCGCCAGGCTGGTCACCAGGCGCAGCACGTCGGTGAGGGTGATCACAGTACACACCCTGGGCCGCTCCAGCGACTCCACCACATACACGCGGTGCACATGGCGCTCCACAAACTGTGAGGAGGGAGGTAGGAAGGAGGGCTGAGAGGGCCTCAGAAGAGATGTGTGAGAGAACGCAAATGCAGGCAGGCGGCGGAAAAACACATTCCAGCCCAGCAGAGAAAGAGAAGAACGCCAGCATCTTGGACAAGCATGGACTAAGAGTCCAGTGCAGGAACGCATGGCTTTCCGTGGGCAGAGCAATCAAGGCCCCGGCCCCCCACACCAAGTACCCTACCTTGGCCAATAGACCCTTGAAGGTTGTCGCTGGCACGACCGTGAACAGGGCGATGTCGTTCTTGCCGGGGCCTATCTGGCGGTGCGCGGCATTGAAGTAAGCGTGTTGGGCCAGGGAGGAGGTATGCACGCTGTAACCAATGTCTGCTTGGTGGGAAGGGAATGGATGGGAGTCAGGGGGAGAGGGGCGGAGGCAGCACAGGTGTGAGGGGGAATGGGGTAGTCTGGCCTGCGGGGAGACGGTAGACTGCAAGGGCGCAGCACCTCATGACCCCCCCAGAGTTTGCCATTCCGAAGCACATCATCCTCACAACTCACACGTCGTATCATGCCGCAGCGCCAGGAACTCTGCGACCGGCAGCGCGAGCACCCCCAGATGCTCGCCGGTCAGCGTCCTGCCAGGGGAATCGTGTTCGAGGAGCTTCTAAGTGGGAGGAGGTCCATCAGGCTGGAGGCCCTCCCGAGCACTGCGATCAGTCCGCCACGCCTTCCAGAATCGCAAGCGGGGCGTGCACCCCCCAGCCACTTCCTCCTTACTCTCAAGCACCGGCAGCAGCCCCCTGGCACCACCCTCGCATGGCCGCTTCTCACCTGAGGTCGCTGATCGACAGGTTGGCGATCAGGTCTCCGGTGTCGGCGACGACGGGCGCGCCCGCCAGCTGTCGTGAGGCCAGCATGGCAAAGGCAGCCAGGGTTGGGGTGAGGGGGTCCACCGAAACCACCTCCCGGGCGGAGTCCAGCACCCCCAGCTGGCCCAGCGTCGCGTCGGCCAGTGGACCCAGGGCCTCGGGCCGGGCCGCGAGGAACTTGATCACGTCCATCTGGCTGTGGGCCGTGTGCAATCGTGATGGGTGGAGTGGGGAGGGGGGGCTTTTGATGCTTGGGGTGGTGACAAACACCTGCACCTCCTTGAACAGAAACAGCCAGTACAAGCCCAAAATGCATACACTGTCCAGGGCACTGCATGACCGCACATCCTTGCAGAGCAGTCAGCCCATGCACCCCCCACGCCGCGCCACCTGACGATGTTAGTGATGTCGCCGTGGGGCCCAAACAGGGCGATGCGATGGACCACGGCGCTCATCCCCCCCTCAGAGGGGCGCAGGAACAGGTCTCGGATGGTGCTGCTGAGGGGCGTGGTCCCGGCCTCCGAGGCGTACAGCAGGTTCCGGTCCTCGATGCCTGTGGTGCGGGGGCGGCGGGGTGAGGCCATGATCACTGTGTGTGGACATGGGACAAGGATTGCAATGCCGGGGCCGAGAACCCACAGGAGAGCAGGGCCGGGCGCAGCGCCAGTCCCCCAGGCGTGCATCCCGCTCAGCACGGGTGCAGGGCATGGCACCGCCGCAGCATGTCATGTGTGCTGCCTGACCCCATGCTGCCCTGGTCAGCACCCACTGGGAATGGTGATCAGCATGCGCGAGATGAAGCTGGGTGCTGCTTTCTCAATCGCCGACATGAGAGCCAGCATCTTGGAGGGCACCAGGTCTCCGCCACGCTTAAGATCTGTGTGATGTGTGTGGGGGGTCCTCTGATGGACGGGGAGGGAACAGCCTTGACTGTGTTCGCATGCCACCTTGGCCTTCCCTGGCTCGGGGCAGCAGGCCATCACCAGATCAGGAGCCAGGGACACAGGCATGGCCCTGAATGCAATCGCCTTGTGGTACATCACACTCCATCCAACTCAAACTCTCACGATCGAGGAAGGCTCTCAGAATGTCTGAGACATCAAGCCACCCCAGCAGCTGCGGGGAGAGCTCTCTCTCCTCAGGAAGACCACCCATTTCCTCCAAGTCCGGCTCCAGAACGATGGGGGCACTCAGGATGCCCCGTTTCGCCAGGATCTGCAGGTGCCATAGGTGGACGAATCGCCTCAGAGCATGATTTGGGAACGAGGCCTTAAATCGCTACCGAGCACCACCGAACACCGTGCTCTCAACCCATGGCCTCCGCCTCCGAACACGCACGGTGCATGGAGGTATTCACTCGTCCTACCTGCATTGCATCGCCTATGGAGAGGTTCTGTCGTAGTGTGACGATGTCCTGCTTGGGTTTGCATAGCGCACTGGTTGGCGTCTTCTGCAGCAGCTCGTGCACGGGTGCCAGGACCTCCTGGGCGTTCGCTTTGATGTCGGATGTCGACATCTGAGCAAACTTATGCCTTGATAGATTCTGCGTCTGTGAGAATGTAAACAATAGCTGAGTGGTCGATCGGTGGGGTTGCTCAACACGCTCCGAAACCAGGCTACGTAACCTTCCACTGGCCTCTCGACTGGAGAAGTCAAGACAGTGGCGCGCGGGCCCACTGGCATTCTGAGTATATTGTATTTCCCAGTCTCATTCGCTCTTTTTGTTTATTATAGAGAATCCCAGTGGCCATGCCCCTGCCTGGGAGAGGTGGCGTGCACGCAGCGCGCGGAAGAGGCCGTGGCAGGGGGTCCAAGTTGGACGGTTTCGCTCGAGGGAAGCAGAGTACCTACGACCCGGTAGCACGAAGGGAGAAGGAGCGTGCGCTGAACGCCAAGACCGTGAACAAGTATCGCAAGCTCCAGAAGCGCCTGGCAGCGGCCGGGGAGCACGAGGCAGGGCACCGTCATGAGGTGAGTACAGCTTGGTGTGGCTGTGGAAGATGCGAACATCATTCAACACCAGTACAGCTGATGTCCCCGATTCGGCATGCACAGGGCGTGGACGGCTCTGCTGGCACTCTGAGTGGGGCGCCTTCAGCAGGCGCACTCTTTCCCCCAGCCACTGATGCCCTTGGTTCCCACGGGCACGGCCGCCCTCGCGTATCGGATGATGGAAAGGAAGAAGGGGAGGATGTCAATAGTGCCGCCAGATTTCCTGCAGAGGGACGGAAGTCGCATGGTTCACAGCTGCTGCGCCTCGCTGAGAAGGTCGGTGCCACGAAGGAGGCTGCTCATCAGGAGGCAGAGACCAGAAGGGCGGAGGCGGTGGAAAGGAAACGCAAGCTCGCGCAGGACAAGAAACGGCGGGCAGCAAAACATCAGACATTAATGAAAAGGACTGGACGAGGCCAGCCGGTCATGAAACACCGCATTGAGATGCTCTTGGACAAGCTCCAGTCTTGAAACGTGCTCCTTGCTTACCTCCCTGTTACTCTAGATAAATTCGCTGGGAGATCTGACCAGGATCAGATGTGCAGCCATCCAGCGCATGAGCGTGGGAAAGGGATGCATATTCACCACAGAGCGCTCCACTGTTTCAGAGTCCAGAGAGCAGATACATGCACCTATTGGCGAGTCCCATCTTCAAGTGGCACCGTCAGCACGCTCCCTGCTCCACGACCACGGCAACTGTTGAACGTCCATGCCCAGCAAGAAAGGGCCGCCACTCAGACCCCGGCAGACGGAACTTTTGCAGGGCCCGACCTGGCGCTCCCAAACACTCTGCGCAATTTGCAGTGATTTTCTAGCTCAGTGTGGTCAGTTTGATAAAGATCACCCGATTTTCAGCGAGCCGTTTGGGCCGGGACAGGGGGGCCCCGCATGGCACTGGCTCTTCGGTGTCGGGGAAGACTCGGCCTCGGGCGATTGGTGAACAGCGGCTTCGAGCATGTTACCGGCACCTCGGGCTCAAAGACTGCTGTAGAGCGCAATGCGAATAGCCCTGTCCCATCAGCAGCCCTTTTGGGTACAGAGCCGTCGACCAGTGCTCGCACGCAGGTGCCTGGGAATCCTGATCTGGCCACTGCGGTGAGCTTGAGTTTCATTGTGCTCGAAACGGTTGTCAAACATGCCAATCCATCCCAGGTACCGTTCGCATGCCGCGGGTTTGCGTCCTCGACACCTGCCGCTGCCGAGGCTGGCCGGCCAGGACCCTCGCGACCGCAAGCTGCCCCCAGCGGGGGCCCCAGCCGGGCAGTCGCACAGGGCAGACCTACACGGCCCATGCCCCAGGCCAGGGGCCCCCAGGCAGCAGCGCAGGGGCGTGCGCCCCCGTCTCGCCAGGGCGACCAGCAGCAGAGGGGGCCTCGGATTGGCGGCCGCGGCGCACAGGATGGCGGCTCCCAGCTCCTGCGGGACGACCTCCTGAAGGCCAACTGGGTGATCAGCGGTCCCGACCCCGAGAATCCGGAGAAGACGGTGCAGCATGATGCACTGAGTGTGCTGGACCCCTCGCACTTCACCCAGGCGCTGAACCTGGACGCACTCCCCTTGCTCAAGCATCTGGTGCCCGAAAGGGACTGGCGCCGCTTTGCGTCTGGCGACCTGTCCCCGGAGGAGCAGGAGAACCTGGTCGACCGCCTCAGCCTCGTGCTCTTCCGCTCATCGCAGGGGGAGGCACGGCAGCTCAGCCGGCGGGCTGACGTGAGTTCAGAGGGGGGGCGGGGCCTTCTGAGCTGAGGGTATCGCACCTCTTGTGGTTTTAGATGTGTGTTGTTGCAGCCCAACCTCTGCTGCCAGTGCTCTAGTTTTTGGGACCCGGCACCGCCAGCCTGGCTGCAAACTAGCGGGGACCTGGGCAAGACCCATCTGAGCAAAGCCCCTGCCTTGTTATGTGACACCTCCGCAACCCCCGCCCCTAACCCCGCAGATGACATCCAACCCCGACTTTCGCATCGGGGAGTCGCTGGGCACCATGCCAAGCACGGACCCCACACAGCCGCCGCCCAGCGCTCTGGATGTGCTGACCGAGCAGCGGGACTACTTCCTGCAGGAGCTGGGAGTGGTGAGTGGCGGGGTTTGTGTTTGGACTTGCGTATGTGCATCTTCAGGTGTTGGAACTGCTGCATCAAGGGTAGCAGCCTCTGAGACAACCAGTCAGTGACGACGGTTGCTCAGTGTCAGGGGGGTGCAGGAAACCCTGGGGTGACAGCAGGGCCCCAGGTCCGACCTTTCCCTGACCCTCGTCCAGCCTCGAGCCTGGCCCCCAATTCCAATGCCCGGTGCTGCCCCATAGAGTGAGGAGGAGTACGAGTCGATCAAGGCCGATGTGGCCGCGGACTTCGAGGCCACGGTGCGCCCTCTCCTGGACGCTCGCAGCGATTCCGGCGAGGCCCAGGCCCAGGCCCTGGAAAGCGTGGCGCAGGCCAGCGTGCCCGAGGACCATGTGCACGCCGCCGCCATCAAGGACAAGCTGGGGGTGCTGGAGAGGAACGCGTTCTGGCCCCAGGCGTCCAAACTGACCTTTGCCCAGAGGCTGGTGAAGGCCCTGAGCTGACAGGCTTGGTCAGGATGTGCAGTGCGTAACCCCTCCCACTCAGGCTTCTAGCCCTGGTGTCAGTGCATTCGCGATGAGCATGCTCACTGCGTGTAGAGCTGTTGCCCACCCCGCCTTGCTGATGATCGGAAAGTGACTGCCTGCCCCTGGTCCCCATGCGGTGGTGTCGGCTTTCCAGGGTGTGGGGTAATATCAGGGTGGCATCCTTGTGCCAGGCCGTGTCAGGCAAGCGAAGGCGTGTATCCGGCATGTCTCAGTTCTCTCCAGGCAGCATCGTATCCTCCGTAATCATGCACTGCGCCACGGTGGCGTTGGGCAGAAGGTGCCCCACGCAGTCCCGCTCCTTCAGCAGCTCGTCCTCGCTCGCCTGGGGAGCGAGAAAGAGGACGGGGTGGGCGAATGGTGTGCATGCGCACTGCATGCTCCTGCCACAATTGGAGCGCATTGCTGCATGGAACACTTGGAGCAGGCCAGCATGTTACCCTCCCATATACATACAATCACTCTCACCTTGCACTTTTCGATGAGCCAGTCATTCATGTGGAAGCCCGGGATGATCTCGTAGTCACCATCACCCTTGGACCGCGCAGGCATGGAGTACACCAGCCCCTCTGTGAAAAGACGAGGGCGGGGCAGCTGAGCTATGCCGGCCCTGGGGGGGCCACCACCCAGCAGCGGCAGACAGGCATGACAAACAGATCCTGATCGAGCCATTTCTCAGGCAGCATATGCTCGCACCAGCTAGCCCGTAGGGGTTGCCATCGGTGATCACGGCGGTGGAGAAACAGTCACCCTCCTTGGTGGGCTGGGTGAGTGACCGGATGTGGTCGGCGATGGAGACTGCAGTGGATGCGGCAGAGGACCTCCCCCACTTCTTGATCAGGACTCCTCCGCGGTTTGCAACCTTGCAATGAGGAGAATGTGGGAGGAACCTACATCTCACGACTTCTCCCTTGCGAAGATGTGAGCCACTGAAGCCGCTCCAAGAGACTTTTTACTGTCTCTGGTCAACCAAGAGGAGAGGCAATCCACACACATGCTCTGCAACCACGCTCTCAATCCGCCTCACCGTGGGAGTAAACTCCTCCTTCAGCCATTTGTCATCGTGAATGTACTCGCGAGCAGGCACACCTGCGCATTATCGGCAGTGCTTGACATAATGATGAAAATACAGTCTCCTGGGGCGGTCAAGAAGCCAGAAATGCAGGCTGCACTACAAAGTGACATTCAACAAACAGCCTTCCCTGTAACCTCAATCCTTGCCACACCTTCAATCTTGGCGTTGACAAAATCAGGGACCTGTGTGGTCGAGTGGTTGCCCCAGATGCACATGTTGGTGACGGAGGTGTAGAACTTTCCGGCCTTCAACGCCAGCTGGCACTGTGGGGTTTTGCAGAGGGCGATGGAACGTTTAGGATCCAGAAGAGAGGAACGAGGCGGACTGCACTCCAGGTAACCAACTTCAAGCACTCCATTCAAGAGCTCCGGAAGGCGCCAAGTGCTTTTCCGCTCCTTTGCACAGTGGGATGATGAAATGACTCTCCCATACTGATGATGACGCGCACAAACCTTGGCCCTGTTCTCATCCAGGCGGGTCAGCGCATGCCAGTTGCGGCGCGGCAGGTCAGGGGCATTCTCCAGGCCGATCAGGGCGTTGGTGTTGCAGGGGTTCCCCACGACCAGCATCTTGCAGTTCCGGGAGGCCACCTCGTTCAGTGCCTGCCCCTGCTCCTTGTAGATCTGGCCGTTCAGGTCGAGCAGGTCCCGTCGCTCCATGCCAGGGCCTCGGGGTTTGGCCCCGATGAGCAGCGCCCAGTCAGCGTCCCTGAACACCTTGCGAGGGTCAATGCCCAGTCGCACCTTCGGAGAGACACGTGTTCAAAAATTGGTCTGAGGAGCTGGCCGATGAAAATTTTGGTTCACAGTGTCTGGATCCGGAGAATGGGGGTCATTGGTCAGCCAACGGCATGGCAAGGACAAGATTTGGAACCATACGTCTGCTCGCCACCAGGACACCCCCCCAATACCCACCTCCCGGAGCAGGGGGCAGAGCGAGTCTTCCAGCTCCATCGCCACGCCCTCCAGGGCAGTGCGGGACCGCTCTGACCCCAGCAGGCTCAGCGAGACGGGCTGATCTTTCCCAAAAACATCCCCGCTTGCGATCTGGGGTGGATGGCAGGGGGGGAGAATTGTGTTGTCAGAAGCAGGCACGAGAGGAGAGGCAAAACCCTCCTGACGAGTAAGTTCGGACCTTTCCATCAGAACAGGTCATCGTAGCACCCAGCCTCACCATGAAGACGAGGTGGTTGGAGATCATGCCTGCGGCACCAGTGACGGCCACATTGATGACCCTCTTCCATGTTTTCGTCTCAGAAGGGTTTCTCTGTAATAGGGGAAACTCCGGCTTCACTTCGGTGGGGACAAACGTGATGACATACTCGCAAACCTGCAATCGGCCACCCAGAATATCATCCAGACATCAAACCCTGTGTACCCATCATGCATGCAGCAAGCTCCTTCCCATGCAAGCCACAGCTCAATTTCATGCAGAGCTCATCCTCACCGCATCCAGGTCATACTCCAGCCTGAACACGCCATAGGCGCCATCATCGTCGGTGCGAGGAAGGTCCTTGGTGGCAATCGCCTGCAGTGGCTGGCAAGGGTACCTCCCAGCCGAGCCCGAGCTGAGCGTGCCCTTGGGTGCAGGGTGCCGCAAAGCCCATCCCGAGCCATTGACAGAGCACAGAGGACTGCGAGAGGCCCGCCTCGAGTGTGCTGAGCTGGCCATGCGGGTTGCATGGGCCCGGGTCGGTTCTCTACCGTTCGCGGGTCTGCATGAGAGCGCCGGTGGGCGGTGGGCCGTGAGCTCCATGATCGCACAATGCGATGAGCACAGGTGAGGAGTTTCGAGGTCCAGGTGGGTTACGCAACTCACAGAAAGGTCGGTTCTCAGTGTGATTGCGCGCGTCGAGCGTGTTTAAGGGATCGCTCCGCGCTCCATGCGGAAGTTCTCGAGTTTTCCCGCGTGATCATGAGTTGGGTTGCGTCCAATCGACCCCTCTTTGAAACCGTGTACATGACGCCCACAGTGGTTGGTCGCGCAACCACAGAACCCAACCCTTTATGAAAGGGGCGTCTTGACATGACATCCTCTCTGTACTTGGGATAGGTAGCAATAGCCACGTTGCAAGGGTCAAGGTGGTCCAGAGTGCAAGGGCTTCAGAACTTTCCGCTGCGATCCCTCTCCCGCTTTGCAAACAGTTTCTCCAGCGCCCTGCGTGCCTCCCCGGCCGGAAAGTTGGAGAGGTCGTAGTAGTGCGGCGCTAAGTCCACTAGCCACTCGCCCTTGATCTCGGTGACTGTCCGGATGTAGTTCTTGGTGGTGAGCACAAACTCTTGGTACAGGACCCTGCGGGGGAAAGGGGGGAAATCGGTCACCAATTGGATGCTGGACAATCACAACGCCACTGCCAGACATCAGCGTTGCAACGGCAAGATGAGTGATGCACCGCCATGCAGGACCAAGCAAGGATTCCTCATGCCCAATGGGCGGGAACCATCCCGGCATGCAGTATTCTCCAAGACACCTGGGCGCTCCCCGCCCCTTCCTCCCACCCCAGTGAAGCCTCAAGCACGCACCATTCGGGTTTGGTTTGGAGGCAGGTGGAGGGGTGCAGGTACACGTTCTGGTTGTCCTTGACCGTGAGGTAGTGCCCTGTCCGCTCCACGTGGGCTACCTGCATGAAGTACCCTGCCAGCATAGCCTTCCGGATGTTGGTGTAGTAATCTCGCGAATTAAAGTCTGTAGACACCATGTTTACGCCCAGCCTCTGGCAGATGCGGAGCTGTGGGTTAGAGGGGGTGATGAGGGAGGTGGGGCAAGTGAGGTTCAAGATTTAGGACTTCAGGCACGCACCAGGATTGCCCATTTGCACAGCCCACAGCACATGCATTTCCCCAAGGACATCTGGCAAGGCCTGTCGGAAACATGCCGCATCTTCTACTGAAGGCCCACCATAGACACCCCTCGCCCCATCCCCCCGTCCGCCATCGCACCAGCTGCCCCCGGACATTGTCCGCAGACTTGAGGGCCCGCGCGTTGAGGAAGTTCTGATAGCACCAGTCGGCGTCGCCGTTGTGCTGCTTGTAGGCGTGGTAGGCGTTGAGCAGGGTGAGGTGGTCCCCATCGACATGCGCAAACCTGGCCTTGGCCTCATCGGCGGCGCGCGCGGCCTCGCGCGGCCGCACGAACACCTGTGGCACGCTCAGCGTGGCGGCGATGCTCAGGATCTCGTTGGAGCAGTTGAAGCGGGGAGAGGCCACCACCATCTTAGACAGCTGGGGGTCCAGGGGGAACTCGGCCATGATGGTGCCGATGGGGGTGAGGTTGCCGTCGTCGTCCAGCGCGCCCAGGTAATTGAGCAGCTCCAGGGCCCGCATGAGCGTCTCCGGCGCGGGGGGGTCCATGAAGTCAAAATGCACCTGCGAGGGGGGGTTGGGTGGGGAGGAGGTGGGGAGGTATGGAGCTGAGCCCCGGTTTCAGAGTTGGCGTGAGTCCAGTAGCCGTAAACAGGCTGCTGCTAGATGACGAGCCTCAGAGGGGGAGATTGCTGAGCGGTGGAAAGACCAGAGTGTGCTCCTGTCAAAGTGAAAGTAGATCGCACGCATGGCAAAAGAGAATCCAAAAGGTTCCTGGCCTCATCAACAAGAAAGTTGTACCCAAGCAGCCCACGAAGGGGCTACATTCGTATAATGTAGATAAGGAATAGTTGTAATTTAGCATCATCGGCCATGGAGGAACCATTTGAGATCGAGGTCAGCAAGATAAAGATACCAATGTCGCGGTGAATGGATCGCAAGAAGGCCCACCGAGGCAGGGTCGTGGGGTGTGGCATGAGGGCCCTTTTCAATCACTGAGACAGTCCTTCCAAACGATGGATGTCAACCAGCTCTCCCAATCCTCCAACTCCTGAATCGTAGCCCTCCTGCCCTCCAAGCCCACCACTCACCAGGTCATCAATGCCCAGCTTCTTGAGCTGCAGCACGACTGACCCCAGATTGCTGCGCAGGATCTCAGGGTAGGTCTGCTCCTGCAGGTCCTTGCCAAAGGACGCCTCCGTGTACAGCCGGAAGCACTTGCCGGGCTTGGTCCGCCCCGCACGGCCGGCGCGCTGGTGGGCCGAGGCCCGGCTGATGGGCGAGACCAGCAGGGACTCGACACGGATGCGCGGGTTGTACACCTTTTGCTTGGCGAAGCCCGGGTCAATCACGTACACGATGCCGTCGATGGTCAGTGACGTCTCGGCGATGTTGGTGGAGACGATGATCTTGCGCCCGGGGATGCCGCCCGGCTTCAGCGGGCCCGGCGCCTGGGAACAGGGCAGGGCAGGGACGGGTGCGTCAGGGTTGAGGAAGGTGGCGGGGCGCGGCGACAATGGAGGCTGGGGGATTGAACGCTCGAGGTGATGGTGCCGGCATGCGGGCACTTGCACAGAGAAGGGATCTTCGTGTGCCCACGCTCGTGCTGCGCTGCAAGCTCATGAGCATGCAGGAACGGAGCAGCAGGCCTGCCAGACAGACCTGAGTTCAGGCCTCCCTTGCCCACTTCATCTTCATTTAGTGACGTTGCTCTTCCAAACAGTGCCCCTGTGGAGGATCCCACTCAGATCACAACACACCCCCCTCTGACCTGGTCGAAGATCTTTTGCTGCTGCTGCGGCGGGAGGGTGGAGTACAGGGGGTACACCTTGATGGGCCCCACCTTGGAGCCCAGCTGCTCGATCTCGCTGGTGATCTTCCGGCAGGCGTCCTCGATCTCCTCCTCTCCCGTCAGGAAGACAAGCACGTCGCCCGGGGCCTCGTACTGATGTATTTGCACCACGGTACGGATGGAGGCCTCCAAATAGTCCCGCTCCGGCTCCTGGGCAGGGGCAAGGAGGAGTTCAACGGGATTTGTTTCCCCATCTTTACAACTGGCAGGACCAGTTGTCCCTTGCAGCGAGTCTCCTTCAGATTCTTGCCGTCCACCCCCCCCACACACAAACCAGCCCCCCACCACCCAAAACACACACACTCTCTGCGCACCTGGGTGTAGAAGATCTCCACCGGGTGCAGGCGCCCGGGCACCTTGATCAGCGGCGCATCCAGGAAGTAGGACTGGAACTTTTCCGCCTCCAGCGTGGCGCTCATGACCACCAGCTTCAGGTCGGTGCGCTTGACCAGGACCTCCTTTATCAGGCCAAAGAGGACGTCTGTGGCCAGGGTGCGCTCATGCGCCTCATCCAGGATGATGACGGAGTACTTCTCCAGCAGCGGGTCAGTCATGGCCTCGCGCAGTAGCATGCCGTCGGTGGCAAACTTGACCAGAGTGCGAGGGCCCGTGCACTCCTCAAAGCGGATGGAGTAGCCCACCTCCTCCCCCAGCGTCACATCCATCTCGTCCGCCACGCGGCGCGCGACCGACATGGCGGCCACGCGCCGCGGCTGGGTGCAGGCCACCTTGAGGCCAGCGGTGCAGTACCCCGCCTCCGCGATGAACTGCGCGATCTGGGTGGTCTTGCCGGACCCGGTCTCGCCCACGAGGATGATGGTCTGGTGGGAGCCCAGCATGTCCACAAAGTCCTTCCGGGCCTGCCACACCGGCAGGCCTGCAATGGGAGGTGGTGGGAAGGAAGGGTGGCAGTCAGGCAGGGGAGAGAGGGCAGGGAGGGAGAGGCAAAAGCAAGCGCTGAGCGAGGTGGAGGGATGCGAGAAGGTCATGGCGCACTCCTGCTGCAAGACCTTGTACCCACCAAAAGATCTCCCAGCACCAAGAGGGATGGATGCATGCACCCTCCATACCACCCACCCTGACGGCCGGCTAGGATCTCATGGTATCGCTGGGAGTAGGGGCGCCCGGTAAAGGGGTTCACACCACCGGACTGCACCGCGGGCGTGCCGTTGGGCGCCGCGGGTGTGTCATACAGCTCGAGCTTGCGTTTTCGTTCTGCCATGCCTAGCCCACACTCCGGCTGTGCGGCCACTGGGGGAGCAACAGGCAGGGCGAGCAGTAGGGGGCCACCAGACGCGTCCCCTGAAATGCTCTGCACAACGGCAAGCCGGTGTGAGGTCCTATGGGCTCCCTAGAGTATGCCACCGCCTCGGTGTGATGGCGAATCGCAGCAAGCACCAGGCCAAACAGGACTGGTTCCCAGCACGGGTTTCTCAATCAAGGGTCAGGACACGCTTTTTGGATGTTTGCACCACGCTGTTACTTGCTTGGGCTCAAAAAACATCTCCTGCGTCTGATGCTTCGTACGCTGGAAGAAAGGTTGACCCTGTCGGAGAGTACCGCAAAAGGAGAACAAGTGATCGGATCCCAACTCGTCTCCAATCGAGGACTGCTGATAAATAGTAATCCAGTCTTACATCTGAAACTACCAGGCGTCAACATCGACCCTTCCTGCACTCAGTTCGAGCTTCTTGCATTGCGTAGCTGGGGGGACGCGGGGCCATGCGCGTGCTCGTGGCAGTGAAGCGAGTCATCGATTACAATGCCCGGGTCAGGGTAAAACCAGACAAGGTAATTATGTTGGATCAATAAGCTATGATGCGGGTGAGCGGTACGTCGTGGGTGCAGGATGCATGCTGTCGGATGTCGCCATGCTGTGCTTCTTACTGGTGTGATTTGTCGAGTCATGCTCCCCCATTCTGCGTCCGAGCAGTCTGGCGTGGATCTCAAGAATGTAAAGATGGGTAAGGCTGGGTGCTGGATGTCCAATGGGAATCTGGAGGTGCAAGACTGTGACTGCTGCTTTGAGTGTACATTTCCAGTTGGCTGTCAGCTAGCTAGGAGGGATGTATGCCAGGATACAGCCTACTCATCAGTGCCTTCCTCCGCCTCCGCACCCTTCCATCCCCACCCTTTGCAGGCATGAACCCCTTCTGCGAGATTGCGGTGGAAGAGGCGGTGAAGCTGAAGGAGGGCGGCTCCGCCAGCGAGGTCGTGGCGGTGACCATCGGGCCCAAGGCGGCGGGGGACACGCTCCGTACCGCGCTGGCCATGGGCGCTGACCGCGGCGTGCACGTGCTGGAGGACGGCGAGGTGCAGCCCCTGGCCGTTGCCAAGCTGCTGGCGGCGCTGACGAGGCGTGAGGAGGCCACGCTGTGCATGCTGGGCAAGCAGGCCATTGACGACGACTCCAACCAGACCGGCCAGGGCCTGGCGGGGCTGCTCGGCTGGCCGCAGGCGACCTTTGCCTCCAAGGTGGTTGTGGACAGGGAGGCAGGCAGGGCCAGCGTCACGCGGGAGGTGAGGCCTGGGAAGCAGTTGGGAGTGGAAAGGGCACAGAGTATGGATCCCGCCTGCCTGCATCCCAAGGTATACCGCCCCCTCGGCCACACTCCCATCCGTCAAGTGCTGATACAGGTGGACGGCGGCCTGGAGACGCTATCGCTCAAGCTGCCAGCCGTGATCACGGCCGACCTGCGCTTGAACGAGCCTCGGTACGCCACGCTGCCAAACATAATGAAGGCCAAGAAGAAAAAGGTCGACACGGTGACTGCACAGGTAGCGCGGGCGGCAGACGTTCACCGGGTGTGCTTTTTGGTGTGTGGGGGGGGACCTCCACCTTGGTCGCGTAAATCTATGAACCAGGGAGTGGCAACAGGAACTGCCCACTGTTGTGCTCAATCTCTGCGCTGATCATGCCGCCCACCCTCACGGCACGCAACCCTCTGTCTCAGGAGCTGGGAGTAGACATCACACCGCGGCTGAAGCTGGTGAAGGTGGAGGAGCCTGCCAAGCGCCAGGCAGGCGTCATGCTGTCCTCCGTCAAGGAGCTGGTGGACCGGCTCAGGAACGAGGCCAAGGTCATCTGAGCAGAGCCTCGCTCGGTTGTTTTCCGGCTGGTCATCGTGCCAGTGCCCAGTGGCACCCTGACCCGGTCTGTGCCCTGCAGTTGTCACCACCCTTCTCACAAAGCAGGTCTGCTGGCTTTGCTGACTGCCATCGACCCCCGAATGCATCTGACAAGCCCCAGCCTGAGAGAGTGACCTGCCTGAACCTGGAGGGGTTCATGTACGCACTGTACACAAGAACCAGGATACAAACAGAAGGGCCTGCTGAAGCTGCTCTGGGGCCAAGGCAGACAGGAAGGAAGTGTACCATGCGAGTATCTAGCATGGCACCATGGCCTCAGGAAGAGCACATCGGCGCTCACTTGTCCCCATCCATGGAGAGCTCGTAGGGCGCCACCAGGATGCCGTCCCGGTCGGCGTACAGCCAGTCCCCCGGCGTGACCAGGGTTCCCGCCACGACCACGGGTACGTCCCGCAGGCCAGGGTCGCGCTTGGAGCTCTTCAGCGGGTGGGTGTTCAGGGCCTTGACGCCGATCTCCATGCCGGCGATGTCCTCGCTGTCGCGAATGCAGCCGTTGACCACCACGCCCGCCCAGCCATTGCGCGCGCCCATGGCGGCCAGGTTGTCGCCCAGCACGGCGCAGCGCTGGGACCCGCCGGCGTCCACCACCAGCACGCGGCCCTGCCCCTCCTCCTCCAGCGCGGCGCGCACGCGGGGGTTGCTCTCGTGGCACTTCACTGTCGATACCTGGCCGCTGAAGCGGGTGCGCTTCCCATAGTCCCTGCAAGGGAGGGCGGAGTTTAATGTGGGAGTGTGTCGACAGTTGGCACAAGAGAGTGGGAGCGGTGCAGGCTGCAGGGAAGGGCTATGTTTCACATGCCCCGGGCACAGACCTCCCTCAACCGGGCACCTGAAGATCGATTGCATTATTTGGACGCCACTGCCCTCTACGATGGTGTCCACCGGTTCCTTGATGTGAATGTCACAGAGATCGGCGGTCGCCCCCCTCCCTGGCGGGGGAGGTGGGTAAGGGTTGGTGGCCATGGCACGAACACCCCTGACGGCAGGGCAACGAAGCCTGACAACGCGCAGCATATTGCCGAGGTAAGCGGTGCAGGCACTTTCGACAGGCATCGCCCCTGCTCCCGCTGGCGTCATCTGATGAAGGGCCGGGGCTGACGAGGCCACCGGGCGCGTCGGGAACCCACCGCGCACCTCCTATTCCAATCCGGCTGATCGGGACGAACCCAGGGATCACGCCAGTCAGCAAGCCCATGGGAGTACGGCACGCCATGACATCCTATGTCTCATTGAGTATCTGATACGAAGACTCGAAGGCTCAAAGGCAGCCGTGCAGGAACATCAGTGTGGGGCTTAGGTGGCAGCAATGTCGACGCTGAAGCCAGAGGGAAAGGAGGCAAGCTCAGCGCCCCCAAAGAAACTGAGCTTCTTCAAAAACAGTATCGCCGGGACATGCGGTACGTGGCCACAGCTGTGAACACAGTCTTGCGATGAACTTGGTGACCTCCGTAATTGACTGCCCACACCCTCCCACCACCCCCTGCAGCCGGCTTCAATGTGGTCTTGGTCGGCCACCCCTTTGGTAATCGTTCAGACCTGGATCTTGATTAGCACTCAACCATGTCCAATTGTCATCAGCTGAAGCGTGTCTCAGCACCACAACCATGAGCCCTGAGCCTGACGTGCTATGCCTCAAGCAGACCCCTCTCCCACCCCTGCCTGCAGACACCGTCAAGGTCCGGCTGCAGACCCAGTCCAACACCAAGCCCATTTACAGCGGCGCCCTGGACTGCTTCAAGAAGACTCTGCAGTGGGAGGGCGTCAAGGGCCTGTACAAGGGCATGTCATCCCCGATGGCGGGCCAGATGTTCTTCCGCGCCACCTTCTTCGCCGCCTTTGCCGAGTCCAAGGCATTACTCTCCAGGCAGCCCGATGGCAGCATGAAGGTCCTGACAGACATGGACCTGTTCAAGGTGATTGGGGTCTGAACGGGGCAGGGTGGGATTGTCACTTCTGCGTACTTTTTGGACAGGGAAGGGTATCATGCATAAGGTTTGGCGAGGCGCGCACGCCTGTGCCCTGGTGCATGCGTGGTCTATGCCAAGCCTTGACCCCACCTCGATCCCATCCACGGCCGCAGGCAGGGGCCCTGACGGGGCTGGTGGCCTCCCTAACCGAGGCGCCCATCGACTTTTACAAATCGCAGCTCCAGGTGCAGACCATCCGGATGAGGTCCGACCCCAACTACAAGCCCCCCTTCACCAACCTGCTGCAATGCGTGCGCGCCTCCCTGGCCCACAACGGGGTCAAGGGCCCCTTCCAGGGCTTGGGCATCACCGTGCTGCGGAATGTCCCCGCCAACGCCGTCTACCTGGGCTCCTTCGACGCGCTCAAGCGCAAGTTTGCCGAGCGCCAGGGGTGAGGCGCAGAGGGCGGCTGCCCGACAGCGCTCTCGGGCTGTCTGCGTGATCGAACGAGGGATCTGGTTTCCGTGCAGGCCAGGCATGCTGCGCCTCAGGCGGCCTCGTCCCAACCCGTTGCCACCTCCCTCGCGCCTCTGTCGATCCTCCCACCCTCCCCTCCCCGCCTCCCTTGCTGCTCAGGATCGAGGTGCGGGACCTGAGCATGCCGCACACCATGGCGGCGGGGGGTGTGGCCGGCACGCTCTACTGGCTGGCCATCTACCCACTGGACGTGATCAAGAGCGCCATGATGACCGACTCCATGGTGAAGGGCGAGCGGCGGTACCCCACCATGGCCGCCACCGCCCGCGCGCTCTGGGCCGAGGGCGGGGCGGGCCGCTTCCTGCGAGGCCTGTCGCCGTGCCTCATGCGCGCCGTGCCCGCAAACGCGGTCATGCTGGGCACTGTCAGCAGGGTGCAGGTCATGCTGGGGGCGTGAATTTTGACGGCCGCTGGAGCCCCGACCTGCACGATCGGCTTCCTGAAGCCTGCGCCGCATCTCGAGGGCAGTTGCGCCCTCCGACCCCACTTGAATAGCCCAGCCAGGCCGGATAACTGGCCATTTATATCAAATTTTTATGTCCCTGCTGCCCTGCATAAGGAGGCGAGCCCTGCCTGTCTGCCTCCCCTCCCAGTCTCTGAAATTTTCTGGCACCGATTCACACCCGGGGTCGATCGCTCCGGCGGCGCCATTGATATCAGTCCACATGCACTGCCACAAAAGAATATCAGGACGGGGGGGGAGGGAAGGGGGATTGTAGGCGGGCCAGGGCCCGGGGGCGGGGCTCGTCTGCCCCCCCCTCACTTCTTGGCCCAGCCCTGGGCGGCCAAGCCGTCCCTGAAGGCGGCCAGCACCAGCTCAATGTTGGCGGGCTTGGCGTTGTAGCCCATGATGCCGACGCGCCAGATCTTGCCGGCGGTGGGCCCCAGCCCGCCCGCGATCTCCACCGCGTAGCGCTCCATGGCAAACTTGCACAGCGCGGCCCAGTCCACGCCCTCCGGCACCTTGATGGTGTTCACGGTGACCAGGCGGTCCTCAGGCGCCGGCACAAAGTGCTCCAGCCCCAGCTCGGTCAGGCCCGCCCAGAGCTGGTCATGCGCGGCGGCGTGCCGCGCCCACCCCGCCTCCAGCCCCTCCTCAGCCACGATGGCCAGCGCCTCCCGCATGGCGTACCACATGCTGACCATGCCGGTGTGGTGGTAGGAGCGGGAGCCGTACCAGCCCCAGTAGTCACCCACCAGGTTGAGATCGAAGTAGTAGGAGGCGACGGGGGTCTTGCGCCCGCGCACCTTGGCCAGCGCGCGCTCGGAGAGGAAGAGGGGCGCCGCGCCCGGGGGTGCGGACAGGCACTTCTGGGAGCCGGAGTAGATGGCGTCCACGCCCCAGGCGTCGGCAAACATAGGCACACCGCCCAGCGAGCAGACCGTGTCCACCAGGAGCAGCGCGCCGTGCTCCGCGCACATCGGGCCCACGCCCGCCAGGCTCTGGTGCACGCCGGTGGAGGAGTCGCCCTGAACCAGGAACACCACAGCAGGGCGGTGCTCCTTCACCGCCGCCGTCAGCTCCTCCAGGGAGAAGGTGCGCCCCGCCTCCTTCTTCAGGTCCACCACGTTCACGCCCATGCGCCGCGCCATGTCCACCACGCGCGCGCCCCAGATGCCCTTGTTCCCCACCAGCAGCGTCTCGCCCGGCTCCAGCAGGTTTACCAGCGTCGACTCCATGCCCGCGTGGCCCGTGCCAGACACGCAGAGCGTGTAGTTGCTCTCGGTCTGGAACACATACTTCAGCCCCTGCCGCACCTCATCCATGATCTTCAAGAAGGGCGGGTGCCTGGGGGGGGATGTTTGAGGGGGTGGGGTGGGTGGGTGAAGGGGCAGGACGGGTCAAGGTTGTGCAAACGGGGGGGACAATGGTCGAGAGGGCAAACCGATCGGGGTGATGATCCAAGGAGCATGCGGCCCTGGGGTTGGGCAGACTCTACCGTAGGGCGTGCTGTGACACCCTTGGACCCCCCTTCCTCCCGGCTCACATGTGGCCCAGCAGGGGCAGGCTCTGAGTGGCCAGGACCCTGGGGTCGGAGTTGCCGGGCCCGGGACCCATGAGGAAGCGCTGGGGGATCTGCAGGGCAGGGTTAGGGTCGGGAGTGGGCGGCCAAACCCTCGGGCCCGGCGACGCACGGCCGAGGCCCCACACCCCTCGGAATGCCATATCGGGTCATGAGACGGGCGACCCCACAGG